CTTTTTTTTAACCTAGGCGGTGATTCGCTACCCGAGCGGGCAAGATGGCGCTATCTTGACAACTTTGTCCCTCGAGAAAAAGGCTGTTCCTTATGCTTTCTGCTGAATCCTTCATTGACCAAAATTGTATAGTCAAAATGACTGAGTATAGGTCTGTTTTTTTTGTAAGTTCTTTTGCAGACATCGTGACCTTACCCTTGGTCAATAACCCACGTCATTTCTAAATATATCATTTGCACCAATATATTCTGCCTTTTCCTTGATATTTTTTCTCCTATTGCCGATTATTTCTAGCCTATGAAGGTGTAAACGTAAACAAAGCTGGGTCCAGCTGGGTCTATATAAGGGCTTAGATATGGGATCCTCACCGCAGATCCCGTGGTGATGTGCACAGGAGCTCTTGGGTTAGTGTAAGGCTTTTCTATCGATCCACTATAGACCTAAGAAAAGCAAGAAATAAATACGGTCAGCAAGAAGGCAAGATTGCCTCGGTTAGATAACGTCTCGTGTCAAAACCGGAAAATCATTTCAAGAATCGGTAAAGAAAAGAAACTACAACATACTTAGAGAGCAGAGCACGAGAAAAGTTAGCAAAGATGTTACTGTTCCATTCTACCATTTTGTTTTAATTTCACTTATCAAAATTGTAAGATTCTGTACGATGGTGTGCACACAAGGCATTGGGTCACATGACCATGTCTCGTTTTTGGATCATTTTCATGAAGGACTGAAAAGACTTGTCTGAATGCTCATATTCAATGGAACATCACTGTCGTCTCCATCTCCGCACCATTGTTTCGTATTCCACTGTAAGCTTTGTCATTGCTAATCTAAGCTGCATTGCAGGAAAAGTTAGTCAACCGACCTTTATTTCAGTTGGCTGCCCGGTTCCACTACCCCCTACGGTTATTCCGGGCACCCAGTACCTCGTTCGCACCTGTCCGTCGTTATTATTATCCCTGCGTACATTCTCCTGGGGTTCAAGGTCATTTCTCAAGTTTTCTTTTGAGGTTTTCTTTCGCATCACGCACGACGGACTTAGCGAAAAAGGGTCTACTCGTCGTCCAGTCTAAGTAAGAAACTTGTGACTAATGTTTATCTTATGAGAAATACTGAGAACAATATATGGAGATTAAATTAAGTATTGGTTTTCAGAAAGTTTGAAGTGAACATCTAAAGATATCTAGCAGTGATAAACATAAGAAAGGACAAACCAAATCGGTGTGTCTGATCTACCTTGTGGTTGTACACTGGTAGAAGACGCTCGTAGGAATGTTCATGCGCCCAGAATTCCACGTCCACTCCTGAGAACAGTATACAACAATTAGTGGGTGAAGAAATGTTTTATGCCCCATATCAGATCTTCTCCACAAGCAGCTAGTTTATTCTTAAGTTATCTTTGCAAGGAATTATTTTATGGCATAACATATAACACATCCTCCAGTATTAATTTATTCATAATCTTAAGATATCTTAATTTTTAAGGATGTATGTCTTTGGTATAAAATATGACACATCTCCTCTAGTGGTTGTTAATTTGTGTTGTTAATTATAAGTTACCTTTGCAAAGAAATACTTTATGACATAAAGATATAAAAGGTCTTCCCTAGTAGCAGTTAATCTAATTTATTCTTGAGTTATCTTTCAACTTTTAGGCCAAGAAGAAAAAGGATCTGTAAATTTCCATTAGTTTGTTTCTCACAGATAAATGGGGCACTGACGTTCAGCGATTTCTAACCGTATTATTTTGTGGGGAAAAAAATCGACCCCTCAGTAGGTCCAACGGGTTAAAAACGGTCAAGAACCACCCCCTCCCCAAACAACAACCTTTTGGATGTACTACTTCAATTGTTAAGCTCTTCCTTAAATACCGACCTGGTAAAGTAACAATTCTAATCGTTTGCCTGGCGCTTAGCAACGTTTTCTCTTGCCCATTAATTCTTACCGTGCTTGTAAAATAGTTCTTCTAAAGGAAACAGTTTCGCAGACGACAAACCTGTCCTTATCTGACACAAAGCAAACAAATCAAGCGATAAATACAAATAATCGAATAGGCCCTTTGCAGCTAAGCCATCACGTGTGCTATTTTTCATAAAATTATGGGCTATAACTTTACGAATGCCAGAAATGGAAAAAGCATGTCGAAAATATCAAAATGGTTAAGTTTGAGGCCCCCGTCATTAAAGAATGAGATTTTTGACGGTCTGAATATTTGAAAGAATAAGAAGATTTGTACGGAAAAAAGTTGTTGGAGAGCAAGGTCTTGCTATCCAGCAACATTTTCCATACAAATCCTCTAAATTTTCCTAAAATTACTCTTCAATTCCTGGGGCCTTAAACTTGGCTATTTTGGTACTTTTTATGCGCCCTTTCCATTTCTGGCATTCTTTAAGTTATAGTTCAATCTAAACGCGAACGTTTTTTGAAACACCGAAGAAGCAATAACAGACGCGAAGTAGAGCGTTTTGCATGCGATTGTCAAAATTGATTTAATTTTTGGGCTTGTAAATGCTTGCACAAAACTCTTATAATGCGTTCCAACCAATCAAATAAAAATTAAAGATCCGATCGTTTATAGTGTACAGGAGAGGATGAAGAGTGATAGAGTAACTCCCCCAGATAGTCCTTATTCTCTAGATCCCAGTCCTCCACCACGTGTGATAACACCACGTGCGTTGTATAGATGTTTTCTTAGAAGATACAAATGCGCGTAAGGGCGCTCGCGCTGTCCACGCGAGAAAAAATCGTGTCACATGATCCACTATTTCTGGAGTTCCTTGGGATTTCCGCCGAGTCGTGAGTGATTTCAGTAGAGATGACTAGAGAACTCCTGCTTGAGAGGAAAAACCTCTGTAGGAATGTGGCCTATACAGGGGATTAATTAACTCTTTTATTCCTTATCATTTCTTGGTTCCAACTCGGTCTCTTACAGCATCTTCCACACTTGCCTTGCCACCGACCAAACTCCTTTGCTATTATACGCTATTTTTAGGCTTGCCATGATATCTTTTTTTTTTTTTTTGCTTAAGTTCTGTACGAAAACTTTAGTTCTATTTAACTTTATGAAAGTTACACAAGACCCTTTTTCATTCCGCATGCATTCCGCTTCGAAAAAGATTTTCATTCATCTTAAACATTCTATCTCGAGTGCAAAAAGACCTATCATTTCGGATCACAAGAGAACGGTTATCGAGTCAATCAAAACGAAGCAAACGGTTGCGGATGAAAGTCGCTCAATATTGTAACGCTGCAATCACTCTGTGGTTAACGAGCTCAAGAATTTAACATCCATTCTTTTTTTAACTACAACTTACTTCATTCTCGTGATTTTCACAGCTATCTCCCACAGCATTGGAGCAATACATAGGTCTGTGTGCCATGGTTATTATCCAAGGTCGCTTTGCACGATTTTCGGGTCGACTGGCTTCCTAAACATGTTAAGATATAAGTTGTCGTCAAAGATGTGGCCATTACGGTTGGAATACTGTTAGTATTCATCAGGCGACGAGGCCCATCAGATTGTTTACGTGTCGCTAAAAAATAAAACAGTGATACGCAAACAATTGACCTGATCCGGCGCCTAGTGAAGGCTAACTTACAATAACATTATTATAGTGAAAACGTCGCGATCGACAGCTCAAAGTGACTCCATCTTGAGATAAACGAATAAACTTCAATCATTCCCATTGAGGCTGTCCAGTTTCTGATAATCACAGCGTCGTTTGTTGAAAACAGCAGTGCTTTATTTTGAATGGACAAGGGCTTTTTTGTCAGATTTAGTAGCTTGCGATTTTTAAAAAGATCGATTCTGCCCCTTTCTCTCCTGCGAAACAGAGATTCTTGAAAAAAAAAATACTAATAATTTATCTTTTTCATCCTTTTCCTGTGAGCGTATAAGGCCCCGTTTTCAGCCAGTAGTCGCCTGCTAATCTCAAGCAACTGACATATCTACCTCTTTAATAAATAACGTTAATTATTTTTTTTTTGTCAGTTCGTGAGCGGGCGGAATTCAACAAATCCTGAAATCTGATTGGTCCCGGGAGCGGGCGGAATTTCCCCTTCCGATTTGATCACCGCGGGCGGAATCAACGCGTTCATCTATTTTGGTGAACGAATTAGCTGTAATCGTCAATCTTTTGCCTTTTTAGCTCTTCCATCGACGATTAATCAAAGCAAATCTCTATACTTTTAAATGCCAAGGAAAGTCACTGTAAATAAATTCAATTGAGTGTTTTGAAGTTGTGAGAGTTTGTTTAGTTGTTTGCAGCTTGGCGCTGTAATGCGCGTAATCCTATGTTTTTCTCGCCGAAAAATTTTAAAAGTAAAAAATGAGTCAACTTCACTGAGTTTACCTCTCTGATCGTAAGCCGATTCAATGACAAAGTTACGTAAACAAACCCATTTGTAATTAAAACCAATTAACCACAAGAAAAAATAAATAAACATGTTATTTTCCGGCTAAGGAGTGAGAAACAATGTCGACCTCGGGCAGCATTTTCAAAACTTCGGTCACACCACTATTGATGACTGTTTTTGGTTGTTTTTGTGGCTTACTCAGTTACCCAAAAGAATTAAGTAATTACCAGAAACAATAATTTTTTTCTCTCTTTCTTCTTACTCTCTTGTCCTTATTTTTCCTCATGAAGTCAAGCATCAGTAAACGCTAAATCGAATCTCAGAATTTCGCCCTGGAAGTTTATGGCGTCTTTCCAGTCCATGATCGTAGGATTTGTTTTTTGCTTCTTAACAATCAAAATTCTCACTCTCATAGAGGTTTACCTAGAAAACTCTAAACTGTTCCTCTACAAGTTCATTTTTTTCCCGTTGCCTCCAAGTATTTCTTTTCAAACTTCATGCTAATACTAGATAGCACATAGGGTTGCTTTCTTCATCCTAGGTTCAGAACTACTCCCGCATGTTAAGGCATATAACGAGCCATCTTTGCAGTTGATTTTTCAGGGTGATTGATAAAAGTGATCCGTTGTAAAAAGCAGTTAACAGATATGCATATTTAATTAGCGTAAGCTGGCCTGTGTGGCTAACTGTAAAAGCGTGCAAATATAAGCCGATCCACTTTTGTGCGGGAGGCGCGGTGGCCTCATGGTTAGTGCGCTCGTCTCCGGATCGAGCGGTCCGGGTTCGAGCCCTGGCCGNATGGACTAGCATCCCATCCAGGGGGGAGTAGAAATACTCCTAGTCGCTTCATGCTACAGAAACCGGGATAAGCTCCGGCCTGACGGGCCACTTGGCTCGCATGCAGACTTTACCTTACCTTTTACCACTTTTGTGCAAATTTCTCAGCTATTGACTTTAGAAAGCAATTAATATACATGTATTCGCTAGAGGTTGTAGCCTTTACCGCACCATAGTCACTTCGTTGACGAGCGAAGAAGCGTTAAAGAAAAATAGGTACCCAAAAAGTACATGTGTGGGATAACGCACACGAGCAGAGGACAATACTGTGGGGTACCACAGGTCTCCCACACAAAAAAACTCACTAGCAGAGGAACAGTTTTCAACATTGAAAAAAAGAATTCTTTCTTAGCCCAAAAGAAGTAAATAATCGAGAATATTAAGGTTACTATGGTAAATTACGCTCGACAAGACCAGGAAGATCAAATGATATTAGGATGTTTTGCGAATTACGGCATGGACAGTTTGTTCAGTAGAACTGGCAGTGAAATGTTACGAGTACCTGATTTGCATTACAGAAAAACCAACATTAAAATATTCTCTGTGACGTGCGTAGAAATTCGCCCATAGTGTGTCGTTGGTTAGCTTTACGGGAGTCAAAGCCCGCATACAATGGCCCTATTCTTCAGGCAATCTGTTTTCCAGGAACTAAGAAATAGCAGAAGTTAAAATTTATTTTGACATAGTCCTTCCATTACGGCAGAACGAAAACAACAACAACGAAAAAAATTCCGTGTTAAGAGATTTAGCATGCCTGTTAATTGGGGAGACGATAAATTGTTTACAATATTAAAATAAGTTATTTAGAATTAAAGTTTAAAATCTAAAATTTTTTCCTGTTGTCCAGCACTACTGACTCCTGCTCTATTAACCGAGGGCCTAGTAAAGCTTTTAAAAGTTTAATAAATCAGTTCAAACCGACAGGTCACTGTGGCACTATATTATTAGTCGCCCTGGATGTGTCAAGCGTTCACATCAATTTCACAGAAGATGAGAAGCACAACTTAATTTTCATTGAAGCACATTCCCGTTGGTCTGAGATTTTCGACGTGCCTCGAAATACAAACATTCTCAGTGACGGGTGTTCAAAGGTTCCTTATGCGTTCCTGGCTAACTTTGTTGGAGTCAAATCCGGTGGAAAACAACCCTTTCTTCAGGCAAGCCGTTTTCCAGCAAAAAAAGACGAATTCCACCGAGAAACTACTTAAAGTGGTAGGAGCTAGTTAAATTTTATTTTCACATGGTATGTCCATTGGACAGAATTCTGCAAATAGGAAAATAAATACGCCTGTGGTTCTCTATTGTTAACCAGCGCTATTCTGTCCTCTACAACGACTATTGAACATAGCTTTTAATTGAACTTTGGATAAATGAGTTCAAAAAAAAAAAAGGCAAGTCACATGTTAGTTTACAATTTGGCATTGCATAAGTACTTAAATTACAAAACCAAATAGACTAGATTTTAAAAAGGGTAATTTTTAGTGCTACAAGGAATATATTTAGCGGTTAAAAACAGTAAAACTGTCTGATTGTTTCTCTCATTGCCTGTTTTACTTCTCGGATTTTCCAGCAATACAGGATCGGATTTAGGGACGAGTTTATGAAGACTAGAGTCTCCGTGGCTCTCCCAGCCATGTAATTTACAGATAGCATGAGCCCAATACCTGACGGAATATAGCAGGTAACTAAAGCTAACTGCACCCACAATATGCTGGAAACTGACTTTCTATATCTTGCTATATTCAGTGGAATCCCTCCTCCGATTGCCACCGGGCCTTGGGAGACATTGTCATGTAGCTGGGCTTGTTGATGTCGTAGTTTGAGGTGGATCGTTGTGTAACAGAAAATCGTAATTGTGAGAGAAAGTGTCAAAATAACAAAGGCTCCCTTGAAGGATAAATCAATTCTCTTCATCCGAATGGCTCCACCTAAAGCCCCAATTAACCAAAAACAAATTATAACTACACGAACTCGCCTTAATGATACGACATGTCTGTATCTCAGTCCCAACAACAGGGCGAGAAGTCTGTCCACACTAATTCCGGCCGACGTCAAGATAGATACTCCACACAAACACCAGCTTAAAGCAAAAGTTACTTGAAAAAGGTAGGAAACATCATGAGCATTAATCTTTATCAAGGGAGACATAATAACGGCTACATAAAGTGGTTGCACGAGAAGGCCAACTCCAAGATCAGTGATCGCCAGACATCGAAAGAATAGTTTCGTCGGAGGATAAATAGAAGAGACTTTATGAAGAGCAATAAGGATCAGAGCATTGCTCAGAGATGCGGTGATTGAAAGAAAAATGTTCAAAGTTGAGAACAATTCAATAATGCTCGCTGGTGGTGAGCTGAGTGCTTGGTTCAGTTTGCTTGTGAAGGTTGCATCTCCGGGTCTGGAAATGTTCGCCATCGGTCTTGTGACGGTGACAGAATTAAATCTTACTGTGAGATCGACGCTTAAAAATGAGAAAAACCTTTAGCTTGTGGCTAATAGCAGATTTTATTTGTTGCTAATGACGTATTGCTAATGGACTGTGTACTAACGTTTTACATAGCCAGAGCTTTTTTGGCATTTCCGCTTTCAAATCCTGTCATCTGTCAATTACCAGTTTCACTCACAGTGAACCTACACAGTCATGTTTGTTCTGGAAAGTTAATTGTCGATGTGCCTATGATTTACGTTGGAATGATATTCAGACTGCATTATTTTTTCCTACCTGTTATGTTTACGAAGTCATAAAAAATAAAATGCGAATGAATACCGAAAAAAGAAAGGCATAGGTTACATCTCTCAGCACAAAGCTTTTGGAAAAGAACGGTTACGCTTTAAGTTCTGTAATTTATGAGGGCATCTGGAGATACTTCTTCATCTCAGTAATGAAAAATAAACTGATTATTTTTTAATGTCAGCGATAACACAACTGGCTTAATTGTTAAAGTACTTTTCATAACTACCTCTTTGAATTATAGTTGATAAGACGGGATACGTATATAAATGTATTGAGTAGACTAGGAACTGCTTTAATCGGCCTCATTTCATCAATTCAAGAACTCAAATCTTACATCAGTACCCATTTACACGTGGTTATAACCAGAAAATTTTCACGGGTCACAAACTTGCCCAGGACCCTTAAGCCTTAAACTACACTTACACACTGTTATTCAGCTAACTGAGTGCCTAACCGAAAAAGGCGTACAAATAACAGTCGATCCAATTTTCTGCGAATTTGTCAGCTATTGGCTTCAGGATGCAATCGATATACATGTATTCACTAGACATTGTAGCCTTATGCCACACAATAATAACAAACTATGAAGCAAGAGTATGGTTTCAGTTTAGAGACAATTTGCACTAACAGACTGGAAGAGTTTTCAAGATTGGTGTAAAACAAAGTCTTTCTCAGCCCAAAAGAAATGACTAAACGAGAATATTATGGTTACTATATGTAAATTATGCTTAAAAATGCAATGAATATCAAAAGATATAAAGATCTTTTGCGAATTACACGCGGACAAAAATGTTTCGAGTTCCTGATATACATTACAAAAAAAAAACAACAACAAGGTTGAAATGTTCTCAGAGTTGCCTATTGTGTCACTGGTTAACTTTGCTAAAGTCAAAAAATGGATTTGAACAAGGTAATTGGTAGCGCTACAAGTAATAAATTGAACTGTTAAAACAGGAAAACTGCTTGATCGTGTCTCACACTGCCTGTTTTACTTCCCGGATCTTCCAAAAATACAGTATCGGGTTTAGAGACGAGTTTAGGTAGACTATAGAGTCTCCTGGGCTCTCCAAACCACGTAGCGTATTCCATTAGCAAATAATTTCCTTTTTGTATCTTGCTATATTCAGGTGAATCCTTCCTCCCATTGCGATCGAGTCTTAGGGGTCCTTGTTATGTAGCTGGGCTTGTTGATGTCGTAGTTCGAGGTGGATTCTCGTGTAGCGGAAAATCATAGTTTGAAGAGAAAGTGTCAACTACCGCTTCCTTGTAAGCTAAATCAATTCTTTGGATCCGAGCTCATCCATTTAAAGGGCCAATTAACTAAAAACAAATTATAACAACACGAACTTGCCTTAAAATTACTACATGTCTGTGTCTTAGTCCCAACAACAGAGCGAGAAGTCTGTCCACTTGAAATACCTCGTAAAGAAATTAACCTGGCTCTTGTTTGGTTTCTGGTAATACTACCTAAAAAAAAAAGTATCAGTTCCTTGCCTACCTGTTAAATTGTTATGTTAAAGTTTCCGTGGCAGGATTTGAAGATAATTCCGAGTACCGCAGCAAATAATCTATCAGTTATATTAATCCAGCATGTATCTTTGAATTCATTATTTCTAGACTGAGCCATTTTACTTTGTGACTTTACGTCTAGCTGCAAAGCTAACTGTTCAAAAAACAGTTAAGCTGTCGGAATATTTCTTTTACTGCCTGCTTGGCCTCTCCGATCTTCCAACAAGATAGGACCGGGATCAGGGATGAGTTAAAGTAGACTAGAGTTACCGTAGCTATCAAAGCCATGTCATATTCTATTCCAATAGAAGATAACACAGCCACAAAACCCACGAAACAAAGCAAGCAAATAATGCCAGCTGCACCCACAAAATACTAGAAACTGATGTTTTGTATCTTGCTATGTTCCGTGGAATTCCTCTTACGTTCGCTCGTCCTTGAGGGAAATTGTTTTGTACTTGTGCTTGCTGATGCCGCAGTTTGAATTGGATCCTCGTGTAACAGAAAAATTGAGGTTACCAGCGAAAAATGTCAATAAGATAGAGGACAACATGAAGGTGATATCTCCTCTCCACATCCGGATCGATCCAGCTAAAGCGCTAATTAACCAAAAACAAATTATAACTACACGAACTCGCCTTAATGTTACGACAGGTCTGTAGCTCAGTCCCAACAACAGGGCGACAAGTCTGTCCACACTAACTGCGGTCGACGTCAACAGAGATACTCCACAGAAAATCCAACTTAAAACATCTTCCACTTCGGAAGAGTAGCAACCAGCGTTCTCGTTCACCTCAGACAGGAGGGTGGTTGCAAACAGCAGTTGTAGAGTAAGTCCAACGCAAAGATCGGTGACAGCCAGACATCGAAAGAAAAGTTTAGTCGTAGGATAAATAGAAGACACTCTATTAAGACCAATAAGGATCAGAGCATTACCCAGAGACGCGGTGATCGAAAGAATGGATAGGAATATGTTCAAAGCGGAGAAAAATTTACTAACGCCCGTTGGTGGTGAGGTGAGTGCTTGGTTCCGTTTGCTTGTGAAGTTTGCACCTCCAGTAATGTTCGCCATTGGTCTAGTGACGGTGAGAAAGTTAAATCTTGTTGTGAACAAGAAGTCTCAAAGTGAGAAAAACCTTCAGCTTTTGGCTAAATAACGGGTTGACAATTTTTATGTGTCTCTGATGACGTATTGCTAATGGACTGCGTACTAGCTAACGTCTTATGACGCCGTTTTCAATTATTTTTTACTTATAGTAAAGTTTATTAGGTAAAGTCAATGACAGAAGAGCCAATGATTTACTTTGGAATGACATTTTGATTATTCTTTTTCCGAGCTGTTATTTTACGAAGTACTTTGAAATAAAATGTGCGTGAAAACCGGTAAAGACCGAAAGAATAGCATCGGTCAAATATTTTGATACAAAGCTTTAGGAAACGAACGGGTGCACTGTACGCTGTGACATATTTAGGGGCTGCAGATACCTCTTCACATCTTTACAATTGAAAATAAAGATATTTTTCTTATGTTCCAAAAACACATCCGGCTTGAATATTGAAATATCCTTCATAATTACTTTTGTTTGAACTGTAGATGATACGACGTAAAACGTGCCTAAGTGTATTGAGTGGGCTATGAGCTGCTTTAATCAGCTTCATTTTATCAATTCAAGAGTTCTAAGACCATATCATTGTTGGAAGACACGATACTGACGTTTTGTAATAGCCTGAGCTTCTTGGCGTTTCCGAGTTCAAATACCGCCATTACAATTTGCCAATTATTTTTTATTCACAATAAAGTTTATTCTGAAACGTTAATTATCGAAGTGCCCATGATTTGCTTCGGAATGACTTTTCGAATGCATTATTTTTCCTAACTGTTATTTTACCAAGCAATATTAAATGAATGAAATATGAGTAAAAACCGAAAAAAGAGCATCTTTTAAATACAAAGCTTTCGGAAAAAAACGGGCACACTTTACGCTGTAACTTATTGAGGAGCTGCACATACCTCTTCAGTTTAATAACTAAAAATGCCGATATTGTTCTCATTTTCTCAATAACACATTCAGCTTGATTACTGAAATATCTTTCATAATTACTCTTGTTTGAATTGTAGTCGAGAATGCGTAAGAGAAGGTAAGAGAGTTAATTCTCCATATGTGACCTCTCACGCGACAACGTACACTAACGGTATCCGTTCAAACGGCTAAAAACCGTTCGATTGCCGTTTGCCATCCGTTAATGATCGATGGGATGCCGTTCAAACGGATTGGGTTATCCGTTCAGAAAATTTCCAGCCGTTCGAACAACTGCTGCTATCCATTCGCAAAAACTCTTCATTCGTTCGAACGGGAGAGGTCATCCGTCCACTTGACTAGATTAAAATTCGCGTCACAAGACTGGCTATTTTTAGACCCTCCTGGAATTCGATCTACAAAAATAGCTTGAGAGGTGAATGGCTTTTATGAAGGATTACCCCTCTCAGCCTTCATCCACTCTTAGTATCGACTAACATTATTGCTAACATCTGTTTTGCCGGGTTTTGAGTCACCACGATCAGTGATTGGTTTAAAAAATTTGCGCCACTTTCTGAATCAATCAGAGATGACGTAACACCACTCGCTGGCACACGACTTCCCGCGCTTTGNTTCGGCCTCATCAACTATCACCTCTTAGAATAAATCTACTAGCGTTCTATCACGAATGGCGTTCTCTGATTGGCTACGCTACTCACTATCTGTTCTGTGATAGATGGTGAGTAGAGTAGCAGCGTGCGCTAGGGGCCGCTTCTTTGTGTTTTCGAAGTGTCTTTGAAGAGAATTTAGATTAAAATTTTTAACGACTATGGTAGATTTATACTAAGACAACTAGATTATTCGCTCTCGATTTCTATGCGTGATAGTTGACTTGGGCTGCACCCTCGTCAACTATCACGCGATAGAAATCTCGAGCTCATAATCTAATTGTTTAATAGAAATCTCGAGCTCATAATCTAATTGTTAATTAGTATTTTTAGCTGACGAATTTTTAAATAAAGATTATCTATCTGATATTAACTGTTAACTTGACTGATTTTCATCATAGGAACTAATGGCAGCTCACCAGCTGAAGAGATACCAGGCTTCTCTGGTAACAGGAGATACGAAAGCTCAACTAGCGCCCTGGATGTGGCCAAGCAATCGGTGGCATCACATTCCCGGTGGTAGCTTCCGTCTTCTCCGCCGAAGGCTTTCCATAATTTTTGAACTTTTGATAAATGTCTCAGATGGTTTTAAAATCTGGCATTGTAAATGTAGTGTTTAGTTTACCAAACTAACTCTACTCGATTGAAAAAAGGGTGAATTTTGATGCTACAAGGAACAAATTTAAATCTTAAAAACAGTAAAATTGTCTAATCGTTTCTCTCGCTGCCAATTTTACTTCCCGGATCTTCCAACAATACAGAATAGGGTTTAGAGACGAGTTTAGGTAGACGAGAGTCTCCGTGGCTCGGCCAGCCGTGTAATCTATTCCCTTTCCAGATTGCACGATTACAATGCCCACCGGAACGTAGCAGGTAACTAAAGCCAACTGCACCCACAATATGCTACAAACTGACTTTTTGTATCTTGCTATATTCAGTGGAATGCCCAAATCCCTTCTCCGATTGCGACCGGGCGTTGGGAAACATTGTTACAAGTATGTAGCTGAGCTTGTTGATGTCGGAGTTTGCGATGAATCTTCGTGTGGCACAAAATCGTACTTACTAGACAAAGTGTCAAAATAACAAAGGTTCCCTTGAATGATAAATCGTTTATCTGCATCCAAATCTATCCCCCTAAACCACCAATTAACAAAAATAATTATAGTTACACGAACTCGCTCGAAAGCTACGATATGTCTGTATCTCAGTCCCAACAACAGGGCAAGAAGTCTGTCCACACTAACTGCGACCGACGTCAAGATAGATACTCCACACAAACACCAGCTTAAAGGGCGACGTACAAGGTCAACATAGAATACATCATGAACGTTCATCTTTATCAAAGGACACATACTGAAGATTGCATGAGGTGGTTGTACAATAAGTCCAACTCAAAAATCAGTGACCGCCAGACATCGAAAGAAGTTTCGTCGGAGGATAAATAGAAGGAACTTTATGAAGAGCAGTAAGGATCAGAGCATTGCCCAGAGATGCGGTGATGGCTAGGAAAATATTCAAAGCCGAGAACAATTCAATAATTCCCGCTGGTGGTGAGCTGAGTAATTGGTCCAATTTGCTTGTGAGGTTTGTATCTCTAGACCTGGGAATCTTCACCATTCTTGTAGTGAAGTCGATGAGTTTAAAGTGAGAAAAACCTTCAGCTTGTAGCTAACAACGGGTTGACAGTTTTTTTTATGTCGCTGATGACGTATTGCTCATGGACTGCATACTAACGTTTTACCATAACCTGAGCTTTTTGGCATTTCCGCATAATATCAATTATTTTTAACTCAAAGTGAAGTTTATTCTGAAGAGGTAATTATCGGAGTGCCCATGATTTGCTTTGGAATGCCACATTTCGATTGGATCATTTTTTTCTAGTAGTTACTTAACATCGTAAATTTTAATAAAATAGAAGCAAAAAAACCGAAAGAACGGCATCGGTTACAAAATATTTCGATACAGAGCTTTAGGAAAAGAACAGGCACACTTTACGCTGTGACATATTGAGGTGTTGTAGATACTTCATCGTCTTAGTAATTGAAAATAAAGATATTTTTCTTATGTTTCCAATAACGCATACAGCTTGATTGTTGAGATATCCTTCTGAGAGATCCGTTTTCGTTTAAAAACGCGATTTTTATCGTCGTTTTCAAAACTCCTTTTAAGTCAAGTTGTAGTGATTTCAATCATTGTTGCTATGACGCGAAAACACGAAAGCCATTGGAAGACGAACATTGGAACAAACTTCGCGCATAGGAAACCTGAGCCCGCGACATATTCTCTGGAATGAATTACATTGCTCCCGTCCAATCAGAATAGAGTAATTCTTTTAATGATACAGACTTGAAATTTAAGGTGGAAAAAGATTTTTAAAATATAAGTAGAATACAGTTAGTACCTCCAAATCTTTTTGAAGCCATTTGTGTTGTTGAACGAGAGGCTCTATCCCATATTTTAGGAAATAGTAAAGTTCTGTGCTAAAGCTGATGATGTGAACTGGCCCAACATTCCAGCTGAAATAGAGAAGGTTTTACATCACATGAGCGAGGCTCGATCGAAGTACCTAGTGAAAATATCGAATTAACAAAAGACAGATAAAAGAACTAATTCCCAAACACTTCACACATAATTATAGTTATTTTTACGGAAATATCCGGGACAAAAATCTAGTCATTGAATGGGCCATTTCCAAGTTACGCTCTGCCTCTGTTTCAAAACGAATCCTCGTGCAAAGACTTTCATATGAAAATGAGTTTGATTTGCATGAAAATGAACCTGTAGGTCCAACCTCGTTCCCAGGGTCTTTTCCCTGACTTGGGCAGGGAAAATACCCTGGGAACGAGGCTGCTGTAGGCCGGGAAACACAGTTTCATTTGAATGGTTTCGCACGAAGACTCGTTTTGACACAGAGGCAAAAAGCAACTCGGAAAAAGCTTGTGGACATCCCTTGGATAGCGCTTTACAAAATACGGGTTTAGGTAAAAATTATGTCGTTTACGTGAGGACGAAATGAGTAACCGTGTGAAAAAAATGATCGCTTTCAGACGTGAACGTATACATGCGGATGGGGCTTAAGTACTATCAAGAAGTTTTAAGTTGAAAAGCGGCAGTTAAAGGTGTATCAAGCATTTACAAATTTTCTTAATTATTTCTCAGAATGATAACGATGAATGATCAGTCATCTCCTGAATAGGTGCTTTCCTCTTATGTTGTTGTTGTTGTTGTTGTTTTTCAATTTGAGTCGTGTTAACAGAAGTGCTCTTAGGTCCTATTCGATCGTTCGTACCTGTAATAAATCCCCTCTGTGTTACCAGGCATACTAAAACGTTCTCTGTAGTTTGAAAAGTTACTGAAAGAAATCAAGCGAGTTCAGTTAATCAGCTACATAAAATCAATGTGATGTAGGGTCATTTTAGACCACAGTTGGATACAGATGAAGCCAGTCATTGTCAGGATTTATTCCTGTTGATTTTTATCTCATTACAGGAGTCTATTTAAAACTTGCCTAAATTTTAACGTCTTTTTTCACTCTGTTTGATTATTATAGTCCTGTCGATTTATGGCAGTTTTAGGTAAACACAAGAAAAAAATCGCTAAAACCGAAAAAATATTCTGATGAACGTAGAACTTAATAATAGCACAAACATAGTGTGATAAAAAAACAGTGTGTGAAATGTGTGATAAAATGTGTGAGCTTCCCAGTTATAACATGGACAAGAAAAAAAATCATCCGGGACCTTACCAAGCTTCTTCGTGGTTACCAGGGCACGTCATATAAGGAACGTACGCGGCCATTGGTTCAATTTGATTCATAAACCTATCTCCGACTCTTGAATTCTCCTGCAAGTTGGGTAATGGATTGTTATGAGTTACATTTAAAAGCTCTCCACGAGCTCTGGGCTCGTCTTTGAATCACTGCCAGGGAAACTTGTGACTTTTTTTCCCGTTGTTTGATCATAACTCGTAGCGCAACTGATCTAAACTTATTTTGTAAGAAAAAGAAACTTTGAAACATGTATTTCCAAAGTTCTGATTGGCTCAGCAGCCAATGGGCATCAGTTGTTATGTTATGCGCGACAAACATGGTGGACAAAAATTGTCATGCGTCTTCTTTACAAAATAAAATGAACAAAACTTGCTGGCATTTCGTGGTTGTTTATGATCAGACAATTATACCGCTTGCGGCTCCTGAACAAACTGATACTTGAAGACAACTCACTGCTACGTGTCTCGCTAGACATCAACAGTGGACAAACAGTCTACACCGGTGGTTGGTATTTCTGTGGTACGGAGCGACACATTCGGTTTCACCACAGGCTAATCCAACGATCACCCTTCACGCAGACGGTCTTTGGGCTCGTCACGCAATTTTACTCCCCCTCGTGGGGAAGGAAGAATGCGTGACGAGTCGAAAGACCGTCAGCGTAGGAGGCTAATCCAACGAACGCTCGTGGGATAACTGATAAATAGCACTGTCACTTCTTATTATACACCGTCCAACTTCTACGCGCAAATTGAGTTCGGCCGTTAGATTCGGCGAAGATAGTTTACTGGGGATAAATTATAGTTATCAAAGTTTGATTGAAATTATCAACTAGTTTTTCCCGTTTACTCACCGATTCCATGTTATAGGCAAAGTCACCTAAAGAAAAAAAAACACTTATTTTAAATGATCAGAAGGGACAGTTCATACAAACGAAAAACTCTGTTCCCACAGCATTTCTCGGTCACTCTTCAACTCGTGTCTCTATAACTCGATAAAAACACGCAAAATGTTTCCTCATTTTTTCCAAAAAAGTGAAACAAATGTACTGAATCTTGTAACATTTAGTAGTAAAATTCTGTCAAAGAAGAAGTAGGAATGATTTTGACAGTACTAACCAATATGCAATATGGCATCGTATCGACCCCCTTGAACCTCTTTCTGTAGCTTGGAGAGAGACTGGGCATTATCCACTCCTAGATCTCCATATATGGCAAATCTCGGCTGCCAGGCCGTGCCGTTTTTGGTGGCGTTAAAATTGTACAAGGCGCTCCAACCATCTGAACTACCAACACGGTAATCTGGAAAAAGGATACAATAAACTTAAATAGATTCAGGGTACTCTTATGATATACAGCTGTTTCGAAAAAGGTTGTCGGATTAAAGTGTCAAGGTTACGCGACAAGACCGAATGGTAGACTAGGTATTCATTGGAATTTTGCATATCGGTATAGAGAAATCTTTAAATTGGCATTTTTGCACGTGAATTATTAGCAAGGGTACATTAGATTAATCGCTCATAAGACCATTTTTCTGTAGCTTTTCTTTCATTACTTCATGATAAATAAATATTCAAATAAACATAACTAGGTTAAGAATTCCAGCTGGCGGGAGGCAGACCAGTTGGCTATTTACAAGCACAGCCGCGACGTTGAACTCGGGGCTACCGAGAGCAACATCAGCTACAGGTCAGAACGGGATTTGAACCCGGGACCTACGGATTTCAAATCTGGCGCTCTAACCACTCGGCCACGCTGCCTCCTCATTTTTTAGTTGAAGATTCTTCTAAAATTCAGTGTGGCGAAGAGTACCTTGTTTCCACAAGTCTGAAGAAACTGAAAAAACGTACGAAACGGCATTTGCCAAGTAGTTGTGTCTGATTAAGTATTCAGCGGGTGGTGCAGCTATCTACTTCTACCCATACTAACTTTCGGGATTTCGCGTGCACTTTCACGCTTTATTCCGACAACCTTTCTAGAAACAGCTGTATGTTAAAATTAATTTAATCTTTTAGGCGGTTGAATGCAAATTCTGCGTTTTAGTTAGTGTCTCCCTTCTTGAATTTTACATTCCTCTCAACTTACAAGGGTCAAGTGTCTTCTATGGTAAGCATTTGAGTAAACAATTATCAGACGGTTTACACAGTTTATCTGCAGAACTTGTAGAAAGAGGCTGTAATGTTGTCATGGTAACCTGTTATATACAAAGAATGACCACAACTTGTTTATCACTGATCGGGCCTTTGTTTGATACCATTATTGTAGGATCATATGACAAAGAGTAGTGGTATTGATCCATCAAAGTATAACTGATAGAAAGAACTGGAAACTATTGTCAGCCACCTTTAAAAATGGCGCAAGTTCTCCGAAGTTGTCACGTTCCGCTAGACATGTACAGCTAAAGTACAGTCCAATTCGCAGGTAACAAAATCAGATAAAAAAGACAAGAACCTCTTACCATATCCCCGGCCTGGTACAAGCCCCTCTAGCTTAACTCGATGCATGTATATTGTCCGTTCCTTCCAGCCGCAAGTTTGGTACTTGGTAGGGGCGCCGAACGCTCTTTTGTTCAGCGGCAGTTTGCACCTCTCCCCATACTCCACCACGCTCTTAACTGACGGGGCCATTGTTACCCACGTGATCATCATCTCCGACGGATCACCTGAAAGATTCGTATTGATAGCTTTATAAAATCGTAATGAGATTTTGTAGACAATCTTGGTGAGATTTTTTGTTTTAAGTTTCATCAAATCTTCATTTTAATAAGTTACTTCATATTTTAAAGTTGTTTATTTTCTATTTATAGTTATTTTTCATTTTGTATTATAAACTTAAAATTTTCTCATTTAACGTTGACATGGTCAAACCCACTCTTCTTTTCTCGCTCTTTTTCCCTCTTTTTCCTTTTCATGCTTTTATTTTTACTCAAATCACGCGTCATGCATACCAAAAACGTTGGTTCACGTATCACGTACGGAATTTTCCCTAATTCACGCGTTAAGGTTTCGTCTTTTGACACATCACACTGTAATTTGCGCTCGAATTCCGCGTCACTTATAATATCCCACACCATCTAGCCCTAAAACGCAAGAAGCAATGCTATTTAAATCGTCCCAACTTTTACTTTTCCATCAAATAGATAGCTAATGGTATCTGAAAACTGCCCCAATCTTCCATTGGCAAGTATGTGATAAAACGGAGTGGGACAAACTGGAATAACCCATTGAGATTGTTACCGGTAGGAATGCGGAACTATATGAATAGGACGGCTATGAAGGACAGGCGGATTTGGGGAAGAGAACGAATGGAAATATAAGGAGCTATAATCCATCAAATATTTTCGCTCGCACACGATTGGTTTTAACGCGTCACGTGACTGAATATGCCCCAGCAAAAACTGGGAAATATCCGAGAGATTTTCTCACATTTTGGCAGATCCCGCGTGGTACGAAAAATATTTGATGGAAAGTAAAAGCAATAGCCTCCATTTGGCTTGAAAAATATGCTGGGATATTTGTCCTTGGACATTACTTGTTCCTCGGAGCTCACATTTGCCCGCGAGCTTCAAATCTCGGAGAACTTAACGCTTCTCGGAACAGATAATGTCCGCGGACAAATATCCGAGCATATTTTCGCGCCCAGTGAAGACTTGTTTACTTAAAAAAGGTCCGGCCAATTCACCTGTTATTAAAAACTTCAGTCAGAGGCCTATACACCAATTCTCATCATTGGTTTCCTCTTCTTTAACAGAACTAGCGGGGTTAATAACTTCAAACAACAAGATAGCCTTTGAAAGGTGATTTCATTTTAACTTCTTTTTCTCCTAAACTCATCAAACTAGCCGTCATTTTCCTCTTAAGAGCTCAAAATATCCACTGTTGCAGCTTTAAAACAATTTACAAAATCATTGTTGAATCAGAAACCTGTTTGATGTTTTGAACATTTGTATTTCAAACTATGTCACTATAAAACATAAACTAACACATAAACGCCTTTAATACATAACGCAAGGATTTTATTCCAGTCCCATGTAAACCCAACGAAGTCTTTTTAGCGTAAATTTAAGCAAAGAACAAAGAATATTATGCAATAATTTCTACACGGCCGCCATCTTGGAAAAGACGTCTCAAAGTTAGGTCAGCGAGTAGCGACCGACCAAATGACGAAACTTTGATCTTAAATTCAACGAAATAGACGAACAGCAAAATGACAGTGAAATATCTCGTTGTCGTTCGTTGATCAAGGGTAGTTTTGTTTATTCTATGACAATACAGAGCCCAATAAAGTGAAGAGTCAAACAATGGGCCAGATTACAGTCATTTTACCTACCTGTACTGGAAATGTGAATCTGTTCCGGTTGAGGAGTTCCATGTCCCAGGGCGCCGCGTCCTGCTAATACCACGAGCAATACCAAGAATACACTCGCAAAATGGCGGGCCATTTCAAAACTTCATTTCCTTGTAGGCTTCTTCATTTTCAATTGAACGGAGAGCCAAACATACGCTGTTATCTACCTGTTGGTTTTTCGCCAGTTTATCTTTTTCTAACTGAGCAAGTGCCCTTGTCACTTAACAGGTGGTCGATTGACGTGTCCATAGAAACGCGAAAACACCGGGGCAGAATTTCGCTTCTAAAGCTCATGTATTTTATATACAGAGCCGTTCGTTCACCCATTTAACCCGGAATTAGGGCAAATACGGTGGGGTTAAAGAACCCTAGTTTCGATGCCATCAATATTATTGATATCGCATGGTGAAGAGAAATCTTACTGCTTTACTGTAAGTTGTGTTCCTGAAAGCATGTTTAATTATCTTAAGTAGTTTCACAGTGATTTCCTTCGTTTTGAAATGCCCCGAATAAAACATAATAGCCAAACTCTCGCATGTAAACAAAAACAAAGGTGTGGCTGACTCGGGCCATTTAAGCGGCCCTTCGGGCAACTGGGATAATCCAGATTAGTGTCGAGGTTCGAGTTATGCAAATGTAATCGTATCACTTTAGACTTGGTTTAAGAGATTGTTGTAAGATTAGTCAGGCGTCACCAGCCCACGCACGGTTGGGACTGGGAACTGTTTTCAAAATATTATGGGATGTGTTGTGTTGAAAAGAGCACATGGCGAGTGAGATCGATGGAGTTCTGTCATCTGTATCAGTGAGTTTAGCCGATTTAAACCCGTTGTTTGTTTTTGGACTGAAACCAAGTTGTGAGCATATTGTCAGAAGAAACATTTCCGACATATGAAGAAAACGACCGACAAAGGCAGAACTGAACTGGTGAATGGGTGCGGTTATTCCCGAGTTTAAGACGAAACTGATTCGGGCGAATTCTGTGATGTTGGCGGCACAATGGTGGCCTTTGTATATGGAGGAAACCATTCCTTAGCTTTCTCTATGGGAACCTTTAATTGATATCCGGTAATATTCGGTATCCTTCGGAGATTTCTTATTATCTGTGGCCGATCATCGGCATTCTTCGGAAGTCTTCGGCTATCGTCTAAATCTTCTGGCAAACGTCGGCGGCCTCTAGGAGACTTTTTTAAGGGATTTTATAACTGCGATGGCACAGGCGAAGAAATTACTGAAATGTGATTGATTTGGGAGATGAGAGTATAGTTCTTAGGGTTATATCAGTCTTTTTCCGACTTAGTTCTGTCATTTGCTGTGTAAATATTTTGACACGATGAACATGCTTGGATTATCTTTCATCCTTAGGATAGTAATTTGAGAGTTATTTGATCTTGGTTTTATCGTTTCTATATAGGGTGGATTTTCAAGTATAGCAATTGTAACAAATTAAAACCACGATGGCGGACACTTCCGCCGTAAACGCTTGGAATAAAAGCGAGCACTGATCAAGGTTAACAGAACATTGCGAGTAATAAAATTAAACTAACATAAGCGTGCTGTAAATAGCTTGAAATGTAACTGACATCCATGAATCATTAAGATACTGGTAATGATGGTTTGTTTCCCGCCAGTCTTGAAGGTTGTCAGTTCTATTTATTCTGAACCAGGAGGGGATGAAGAGTAAGAGTTATCCCTCACCGATAGGCCATATTCCTAAGGTATTTTCACCCAAGCTATTTTTAGAGCTGGATAATACTACCACGCGCGTCGCATGGATGTCTTCGTGGAGGATGAAAATATATGTAGAGCCGTACGTGCTGTCCACGTGAGCGAAATAGGCGTCACGTGATTGGCTATTCCACGACCTTTCTGATATTCCGAAACGGGGAGTGATCTGAAAAAACCTTGAGATGGATTACCTTGGGAATAAGGCTTATATGAAGGATTAACTCCCTCGTCCTTCTGGCTCTCTTGTTCTGAGTTTATTTCATTTTTCATAAACAAGTTATAGTACGAATTGAACCAAATATTTGGAACAGTACCAGCTTGTGATATTTCAAAATTGTCCAGACAAAAGCTGCTGAAACAGTTCGTGATAGTTTGAACAAGATGAAATAAAACTCGCGAAATTATTTTGAAATACTGTAGCTGTTGATTCTAATATCTATAAGGGACAAGAAAATTAAATAACTCTAGTAAAAGCGAAGAGAAGAAATAGGTTAAGTTGTATACGAGAGAAGTTTAAGTAATGTGGTGTAATGTACGAGATAACTGTTGGTACGTGATGTAAAATGAATAGTGAAGATCATATGTAAGTAATATTAGTGAAAAAAAAAAAAGTAATGGAAACAAATGTAAGTAAAGTAGGCCAAGCGATATAAGTGATAAATGATGTAAGGCACTGGAACAAAACACATCTTGATTTCTTCTTTGATTCTTTTAGTGTCTAAAGTAACACAAAATAATTTTCAAACATAAAGACTTGAAGTTTGACCACAGACTATGTAAATCTGATACAAATTATGAAACTTGAGTTGCGTCACAAATTGTGAGTAAAAATAGAACGAGCGCACTTTTCCTAAGTAACCTCTGGGCGCTTTACATTTGACCAAAAAGATCCCTTACGTTCTTGACGGGAGATCAGGTGGAATAAAACTTATGAAATAATTATCGGCGAAACGACTGAACCATCGAGCTCTAATCAAATTAAAATATCGTGCCTGTGACAGCGATATCGCTAAAGTATTTGATAACCATACTACAAGGAACAGCACAAGAGAGCACATTTGAACACTCAGTGCTTAAAGGAGCTAAGTCACGGCTTGCGCATCTTGAAAAGTTTAGCCTAAATTTTTCAAGTTCGTCGTTCGTAATCCGTGTTAATCTTCTCCATCCTTGACCATCCTAGTTTCTTTATGGTTTATTATTATCTCTTTGGTGTTTTCCTATCTTAGTAAACTACTATTTTCAGGTTTCCTTCAATTTAAAGGCAATTTTGTACGTGGCGAAATTACTCGAAATACCGTGACTGAGCTACTTTAACACCTTAAGCTAACTTCCTTAAGCGAACTTCCTTCCGTATTTCAAAATGATTGCGAAGGATTTGAGAACCAACACGATGGGACAAATGAGGTTTTCAGGATCGAGAACGATTCTGTTTCAGACGGTTTCAGCCAAAGCGAGAATTCCTGCTCTATTCGACGCTAGAATTTCTCTAAATTCTAATCCACGAGGTTTGCTCGAACGTTCAGCTCAACAATTTATATCCAGTGAAAGTTTTCTTTGGATAACCGTCCCAAAACCAATAAAAGTAAAATGTATCAACGTTCCTTGCCATTTATAACTTGGTTAAAATTAACACAGCTGAGGGCACGAGCCCAGCCTCTTGTAGACTCGTTCCCAGGTCTCCGTCGGTGTAGGTTTTTCTCGGAAAGGTGGTCATCAAGTTGAAAGGCGCCGAGCCGTCGGTGCGGTTTTCATGTACGTAGCTACGAACTGTCTCCAGCGTGTCCGTGGCCTGGAACGTCCCAGTGATTGTACTGCCATTCGTTAAACGAAACTATCGACACAAAAAGAAAGAAATCAATTTTGCTACTAAATTGACAATGTTCTAGAGTGTTATTGCCGAATTTTAGGCCAGTTTTCGAGGAGAAATGGGAGGCGCGGTGACCTCATGATCAGTGCGCGCGACTGCGGCTCAGGTGGTCCGGGTTCGAGCCCCGACCGGGGACATTGCGTTGTGTTCCTGGGCAAGACATTTTACTCCCACAGTGCCTTTTTCCACCCAGGTGTATAAATGAGTACCGGCTAATTTAATGCTGGGGGTAGGCCTGTGATGGACTAGCATTCCATCCAGGGGGGGATTAGAAATACTCCTAGTATTCTACTCCTACTTCTTTAGCCTCAGTTCCAAGCTAGTTCCAGTCCGATACCGATAATACGAATGTGGCCTATTTAAGGTCATTCCACTGAAATAGAACCTGCACTGAGATTTTTGTGAAACTTTACCTATTGATTGTTTATATTACAGGAACTTAACTTTCGAAATAAAAATGAGGGGTCTCTATGTTCGTTTAGGAGCAAAAGCACCATGTTTATACCCATATAAATCCTTATAATAGCATCATGATTGTAGTCACGATTGGTTGCTAAATTCACGTTTCCGACGATTGCTTTTTGTTCTACACCGAGAATTGGTCCATATTTATTTTACACAGAGAAATTTATTACTCAATTCAAAACAACAGAAAACAATGATAGGTCACCATACTCGTTTGCGAGAAAATGACGATNTTAATGCTGGGGGTAGCCCTGTGATGGACTAGCATTCCATTCAGGGGGGATTAGAAATACTCCTAGTATTCTATTCCTAGTCCTTTAGCCTCAGTTCCAAGCTAGTTCCAGTCCAATACCGATAATACGAATGTGGCCTATTTAATAGTAATTCAAGACCTAAACATTCACGGCTTTAAGCAACGGTGACGCAGATTCCACGGTTTATAACATGGCTGAGGACTTTCTTGATTCTCATCAACATTCTGTTTAACAATTTATATTTCAAGGAGAAAGGAGATGTTAATCACACTTTACCTGAAGTTTACAAGTCGTATGTTGCTTTTTCTCCACAGCAGCAGCAGCAGCTTGAACCGGTTGAGCAGGTATTGCTGATGCTGCAGCATTGTCTGACCGTAGGTCTGTTCCACCTTTACCAAACTAAAACCAAACACTGCAATTAAGGCCCCGTCCACTACGCCAAAGGAATATGAGAACGCAGCTTTATTTCTCCGGTTCGGTCTTCCGTTCACACCAATCCGTCACGAAAATGGAGCCNCCATTTTTTAATGCACGCACGCTAATCACGCGTGAAATTATGCGCAGTAGGGATGCGCAATGCAATACTGGGGAATAACCTTAATGGTAATTCAATATCTAAACATTCACGGCTTTAAGCAACGGTGACGCAAATTCCACGATTTAGAACATGGCTGAGGACTTTCTTGATTCTCATCGACATTCTGTTAACAATTTATATTTCAAGGAGAAAGGAGATGTTAATCACACCTTACCTGAAGTTTGCAAGTCGTATGTTGCTTTTTCTCCACAGCAGCAGCAGCAGGTTGAACCGGTTGAGCAAGTATTGCTGATGCTGCAGCATTGTCTGACCGTAGGTCTGTTCCACCTTTACCAAACTAAAACCAAACACTGCAATTAAGGCCCCGTCCACTACGCCAAAGGAATATGAGAACGCAGCTTTATTTCTCCGGTTCGGTCTTCCGTTCACACCAATCCGTCACGAAAATGGAGCCTTTGGAAACGCCCTTCAGCCCGGAGGAATGTGAAAACGCCGGCTTTGTGTTTTAGCGTGGGCAGAAAACATTTTGAAAACGAAACTTTTCGAAAAAGACGAAGTTACGATAATAATAATATTTGCCTGACCGAGTTTTCCTCAAACACAAATCCAAAATGACTGGTAATTGTTGCGTTTTCAAATTTCTCCGGTGTAGTGTGGACAGAAAAAAACATTTCACGCGTTTTCAGAGTGAAACCTCCGTTTTCAAACCCCGATGGCGTAGTCTGGAGGGGGCCCTAAATCATACTTACATACTTGATGGAGCCTCGCCACTGGGACTTTTTAGGAAAAATAACTTTTAAGTTGCTGTAATAACACTATCAATCTACATTAAAAGCTAACATCCTAAATTTATATATAAAAACTAAAATCATTGACAATATTTTAAGAATTTAGTTAAGATACTAAGAAGTTAAGAATTTTCTTAAAAGTTTGTGCTTAAAGGTCTTCTTAAGCGTTGCTACCGATTGCCAACTTCTTAAGGTCGGCTTTAAAGAGTTCCAGAAATTTGCAGTTCTATATTCGAGTCAGACTGTCAAAATATAATTCGTGCTTTGGTTTTACAAAAAGAAACCTGATTCTCAACCCTGATTCTGACTTCAGGGGTGTAGCTAGGGGGGTCCTAGGGTGCCCGTGATTCCCCCCCCTTTTTTGTAAGCCTTTTTAAGGAAACAACCTACAACAGGTGACAAAAACGACATGCCAATCCAGTGGCTGAGAAACCTTTTCCTACCGCTAGCATGTAACGATTATTTGTAAAGGTAATGCTTCAGGGCGAGTCTCACAACGTCTGCGCTTTGTTTTAAGCCTGCCAAGGTCACAAATATAGGTGAGGTCGGTAGGATTTAGGGAGGGGGAAGGATTGGATTTGACAATGATAACATGAATTCGTTGAAACGTCAACTTGGTTTACTTTCGCTAATTTTCTTGCTAAATGTTTTTCGAAATCGTTTTTTATTAGACAGTCTCAGCCACCCCTCTTTGAAAAACTCCTGGATCCACCCCTGAATGTGTTAGCCACACTACATAGTATATCTCCTTTACACGAGAACAATCATCTGGACCATTCAGGGTTCTTTCACTTCCAATTGCTTAACGTCACCTTTTCGGCTCGTTCTGCTCTGTCTCTCGCTATCTGGTCCTTGACCCTTTGCCTAAGAAGGAGAAACATTTGATGGTTAGTCTCGCAAAAAAAAAAACAAAAACAAAAAAAAGATTTATGGCCATTTTAGGAAGTTCGTAGCTTACAACTCGCTCCCTGCACAATACTGGCAGGGGTTACAAGTTTTAAGAGGTTGTTGTTGTCATTGAAAGAAAGATAAAGAAAATTAAACAAGCAAACAAACTAACAAATAACGACATCATCTATTACAAATAATAGCTTTTTTCCCCACTCACCTCGCCAGTCTTTCCTCCATTCTTTCCCTCTTTCTTTCATTGGCTATCTTTTGCGCTTCTTGTAATTCCATCCTCAAAAACCGAAGTACATAGAAATGAGGCGTTAATTATCAAAAAAAACTGAAAACAACAAAGCATATTTCGGATGTTTTTTAATTATACAACTAAAGGCAAGCTGAACAGTGGAACTAATTCTTATGTCACAGACAGACATTATGCGTTTTTTGTTTGAAGCCAAGCACCACACTTACTTTAATTCCGTACCATATACCATATATACAAACAACATTCATTTTTTGATTATTGCTGATGACATTCGGTTAACCCGATGAAAAATTCCACTTTTAAGCATTTATTACGCTCTGAGCACAGGAAATTATTCTATGATTCCAGGGCTGGAAAACAATATTTTTTATTTTAAACACCATGTTGAAGGGGACGTAACCGTGGTTAGTACTAGTCTGGGAACACAAAATTAAAACAAATTATGCCCAACAAACAATAAGCAATCAGGACTGGTTTTGGGGGGGGGGGGGGGGGGGTGGGGGAAGGGAAACGCTCAGTAAGTTACGACATCATAATACCTCATGCATAAGATACGTGAACTCTCCTTGTATTTTGTACGCGTCACATCAACTTTTGAAAAGTCAGTTTGCTGAATCGTCAGCACTTCAAATATGAACGCAAATGTAAGAGATAGCCAGGCATACGATCACAGGCTCGCTTCACAGGTTCGCGTACGCGAAAACTATACAGATCTCAAACAACATCCACTTAGCAGAGGTCTCTCTGTTTGCAGAGGGCTAACTTACTTTTGTTTTATGCTTGTCATTTCTTTCCCCATCTTCCGACGGCTTTTCTCTTTTTCTAAAGCATTCTGAAGGGAAAGAAAAACTAAAAGTTAAATAGTCACATCTTAGATCTCTAAAATTCCAGTCGAAGTAATATTTTATTGTTTTCACTACTAAGATTTTCAAGGCTCGCTCCTCTACGTTTGTCCATATATTACAAAATTCATATCCATTCTGGACAACAGGGAGTTTAAGGCAGCGTCAACACTGCGCCGGAGAAATTTCAAAACGCAGCTTTATTTCTACGGTTTGGCCTACCGTTCGCACTAATCCGTCACGAATCGGAACTTTTCTAAAACGCTTTTCAAAGCGGAGGAATTTGAACTTCCCGGCTTCTCGTTTCAGTGTGGACGGAAAAGATTTTGAAAACAGAGTTTTTCGGAAACGATGACGTCACGATAATCATGTGATTTCGCTGACCGAGTTTTCCTCAAACACAAATCCTGAAAATGAAAATGGACGGAAAACGTTTCATGCATTTTCAGAATGAATCCTTTGTTTTCAAATTCCTCCGGCATAGTGTGGACGAGGCAACGGGAACTGAGCAGTACAATGGCTGCGTACGTGTGTTATAAATCTTGTTGCATTTCTTTGACGTTCTCTGCAAAACGACAACGTGACTTGACCAAATTGTGCGTAGTCCAAATAACGTGAGCCACGACGGCCAGTTCTTAAAATTTTACATCTTACATATTCAGTATTGGGATAGCTCTGACACTGACAGAGAACTGCTAAATGAATCTAGATTCTTGCGAGATTCGTAGGCTGAATAAAACTTAATTTTTTAATCGATGTTGTCCTTGACGTTGCTGTCAACAAGAGTTCATCAGAACACCAAGGAAAACGAGTCCGAGTTCGAGCAAAAGAACAGAAAAACTTTGATACGGCTTGCACCTGCAGTGTTAAGCCTGTGTACAGCTGTCGCTTTCCTCAAGAAAAAGGAGACCGGGCTACTCTGCACAGGATACATGTAGCTACCATTACGTGTTTCTACTAAAGATAAATTAATCAAAACAAAATGCACCAAAAGATGACAAATAACAACACTACATCTTTCTTTAATCCTGTGAGCATAGCATGTACCTTTTTTTCCTCTGCTAACTTCTGTTCTTTTCTTTCCTTGAGCCGTTGTTGTATCCTGTGGGATCATAACGTTTTAAATAACAGTATCACAAGGCAGAAGCAACCCCCCCCCCCTCCAATTTAACCCATTCATGTCTTTATTTACAAGATTCAACTGTATGTGGGTAGCTATGTCCATCAGTGTCTTCTGTATCCCAAAGGCGCAATAAGGACTGATGATGTACACCAGTGATTCTAGCACACTGATGGAACCTACAGGGTTGACTTGGATACTTCAGGCTGTGGCTATATAACACTGTAGTGGAAACTTATGTGAACCCGACTTGTACAGTATACAAGCGTCAACGGACCCATGTAGCCTGACCAATTTTTAAACATAGAGAAGAAAATCTAAGGCCATACTTTTCTAACTGCTGCTTCTTTTCTTCTTCAGTGAGTGGTTTGATTTCCTCTGTTGACTCAGAAAAGTTGGAATGCCCTGACCTCGCTGCATGGAGCTGATGAGTGGAATAAACAAGGAAAAATAACATGTTTTGCAACTGAAGAATGTAAAGATTCAACAAACTACATTGTCCAATCTGATGTCAGGACACAGAATTAACTTGAACAGATTTTGTAGGGTGTAAAGAAATCGAATTTTCAGAGTTGCCAGAAGGGCAAGCTCTAACTTTGATGTACTAGTGTGAAAATCATTCTCTCTAGCCTACAAAAAGTGTCTGTTACTGACAGTACTCCTGTAACAGTAAGCTGAATTCCACACAAATTTTCCCATCAGGAAACTTCATTTTAACACGCATCAGGTATGTGATGGACAGAATCCACCAGCTGCACAGGCTATATATATACAGTATACCTTCTCAATCAAAACTAAAACTCAAGATAATTGAGAAATTAACTCGTAAAAATCTAGATAGGCTAACTAGGTTAGATATCCAAACACTGTTGTTTTCAGATTTCCTCTGTTTAAACTTGATGAATATTATTAACAAGTTTGAGAAATGAATATTAAATGTTATACAAAGTCATGTACATGTAAGTTATAAACTAAACACAAAAAAGAAAAGAAAACTAACCTGAACATCATTCTCACTCCTGAGTCTTTTACCACAACTGAAAAAAAGTTATCAACTTGTTATTTAATATCAGTATTAATTGCCCACCTGTTCCTTGAAGAGATAGTTCAAATGCAAACGACCAAGCTATAAAACACGGCAATCACCATTTGAATGACTCTTTGCATAATTAAACTCCAAAATTACCACTTAGAAAAATTATTTCGAAAGTTATGGACTCATTATTAACTTGAAGTTGATAAATTAACAATCATAGCAATTTAGTTCATGGCATATTGTCACATATTATTGGTCTTTGATCTGATGTTGGGGTAAAGCTAATAGCTGATTTAACTTTGAATATGAACTTCAAACTGATAATCAACTAAACCAAAATGTTTCACTTGGCAAATGATGCAACTTCAACTACAGTTTCTTGCAGAATTACTTTAATTTATAAACTTTATTGATATTAAAGTAAATATTTTATCGTTACTTTTCTTACTCATCACAAACTAGAGACAAAGCTTGCTTGGGCTCTTCAGTGGGGCTTGCAGTGTCTGACGGCTGTTCAGAGTTCTCAACCGGAACTTTTTCTGAACTCTCATCTTCAGCTCCAGGAGTGGCTGACTCTTCTGGGAGATAAATTAACAAATATCAGGTCAACATGGGGTACAACAAATTCAATGGCACCAAAGCACTCCATAACATCAAAGCTCAAAATGCTTTCCATCGCATGAAGTTACTATGAAAAGTGGTGGAAAACGGTACCTGGAAAATGGTGGTTCTTGCAAAATTTTCATTCAGTCTTGAAATCTCGGAAACCTTTATGAAGAGCCATGAGCAAAGTCTCATTTTTTTTCTGTCTTCATTCATCGCTGAGTTTTAAATGGTTTTCACGTAAGTCCGAGATTTCAGAAACTTGGCGAGTCTTGAATTTTACAATTTTATTGCCCCTAGGAGTAGTATTATTTGTTCTTCTTCCTGAATAGTTACCCCCAGCATTCTGTTAACTTAATTCTCTAACAGTTTGCAAGAACCCATTTATAGATAGCAGGATAGATCAGAGTCATTATGAGTCAGAGCAAAATGCTTTGCCCAGCAATAACAGTACTCCTGGCCAGCATTCCAATCTGGAGTCTAATGCACATGTACACACAGGCCATTAAACTACTACACAGGGGCAGTACTCGGTAAGTACATGTATATTAAGCATGAACAGTCTCCATCTATGTTGCTGTGAAATTTTGTTTTCTAAAATTCTTCAGCCTTTGTTTTAATTCAAGTTCATATTTTTTTTCCCCACAGGTATAATACAATCAATCAAGTTGACCAGGCTAGAAGTTAGCTACTTTTATTACTTCAAGTTAGTTATTTGAAGTAAACTTTATTACCCAATTTAGTTATGTAAATGAAAAGTACCTTTTCCTAGCACATGTCCAACTGGTGGTTTATAAGGTTCATCAATGTCAGGATCCTCTGAATGGGTAAATAACCTAAAGAACAGGACCATTTCATATATTACATGATTAATGCTGAGCTCGAGTCTAGTCGTGAACATCCCAATTCTCCACACTGACCTCACCTCTCTGTACAAAGGCCACCTCCCTACATCGGTCAGCTCTCTACAACAATCACCTTTCTACAACAGCCACCTTTCTTTGCCCTGGCGAACTGTCCATACATTCACTCATTTTAACCTCTCTACATTGGCAAGTTCGGCCAAAAAACGCATCCCATCTGCCAAAATATCCTCTGGACAACAGTAAGTTAATCAACAACTGACAAACAAAACCTCATTTTCTATTGAAAAAGGTCACAAAACTTGATACACAACATGCATCATTTGTCTCATTGTTTTCTTGATATATTTTGATTGTATAATGTATTTACATGTCGCACATTTTTTGAGGATAAAAATGTTTAACCCCACAAAAACATCATCATATTACATCCCTCTCTCCCCATAACAGCCACCTCTCAATGGACACTTTTGCCTGACCCCAAAGTAACTGTTACAAGTGGAGAGGTTTGACTGTTGTCGCAGTCTGGAGAATACAGTGTGAGACTAACATGAGACAGTTCTCTGTAATGTTGGCCTTTTTCTTTATTTCCATGACCCCTCTGTTAATCAGAGATGAGATAAAACTGGCACAAGGAAGGAATGCAAGATGTAAGTCAAATGACAGTTAACTACCTTTGATATATTTAAAATTCATCTTGAAGGCCTAGAGAACACCAAGAAGGGTGAATGATCAAACGATCATGTTTATATTATTTCTTCTGTTCATGTCCTGTAGGTAATGCTGTCAAGCTAAATTTTAACACATTGAAAGTAGGCTACTCGATCATTAGCCTGCATCAAAGTGGTCGCGAGCTATGGTCAAATTCCCTCAGCAACACAGGCTGACATATGTTGGCTTTTTCTTCAAAATAAACATCTTTCAGAGAGGACCCATTCGTGATGGGATGTGTACTCACCAGTTACCTTAACACTGGTTAACTGACTGATTCCATGGTAGAAGGGTCCAAATGTCTTTATACAAATGACTTGATTTTTCACACGCACACACCCGCCTCAAAGCTATCCTAACCAGTTACATTTCGCTCATTTTAAATAAAAATTATTAAGATACTCACCATTCCATAGCGGCTTCAATACCTCTGTTACCACTCACAGCAAGCGCCTTTTCCCTGTCAATTTTAATTCATTGCTTGTGTTTTTAGCTACGGTAACTATCAAAGCAGTTCTAATTGTTGAGAATATAGCCGTGAAAATCCTATGAAATCTAGTAGAGCTGAAACACGTTCCTGTGATACTTACGCTCTGTTACGTGGAAACCCCATTTCAACCAGATTATCTATTTCTGACGACATGTTTCTCTTTTATTCCTACTATTTTCACGGAGTAAAAATCACGAAAATCGCCTACTGCTCCTCACCCTGCAATAACCACCAGGCGGTTCAACATCGAAAGCGAGGTTACCAAGCAGCAGCCGCGCCGCGGGGAACTGGGGACGACATAGGGGATTTTGATACTTTGCTTTTCCAATCTAACCTGGAAGTTCTTGTGCGAGAGTTGTGTAGTTATAGAAATGATGCAATGACTGATCTAAACTCACCTCGAAGGTGATGAAAGTCCCTGCCCTGAATAAACTACCAGCTCGTCCCAAACAGACAACCCGCTACGAGGGCCGCGATGAACGAAAACGCGCGTGCTCGTCGAAGGGAAGAAAGGACTGTGGGAAGCCCTCGAGGGGTAAGGAGAGTAAAGAAAAAGCAAAACAGGCAGACTGAATGGACTGGGGCCAAATCAGGAAACTGTCGCATCCGTCAGCCACACCAAACCTTGAATTGAATTCTTTTCCGCATCTATTTTTAGAAACTGATCCCCGCGCGTGATCAGACTCTTTAGAGTCTTCACTCCCTCATGCACTTTGAAACGCCCAGTCAAAATACTCAAACAATTATACGGCAAAGCATTGTTATCTCAATGTAACGAAAACAAAATAATCTTTTTCTTCGTGGAAAACGATCTATAAGTAAATGAAAAACAAACAAAGATTCGGGAAAAGGTTTCTTCCCGAGTATGACACATACACAAGTACAGACTCCCAGAGTGATATGGACTCCTGCTTAAACCCGGGGGAACTAAATACATAAAGAACGTTACGGCTTAATGCGACTCCTGGTGCGAGGGGACAAATGAATCCGAGACGATCTTCACTTGCTGACTTCCTGGCGCCCAGAGTAGTGAACATGATATTGTGCTCAGGCGTCGACTTCTTTGTGCGGCGGACTTAAGCATTTCAAAAGTCATGGCAAGCAATGCATTGGTTCAGTAGACATCAACTTAGCTCAACTTGGTTCGACTGTATTTGGTTAACTTAACAGGTGGAGATAGGTTATTTGGTTTGAACAGAAAACTGCAAATTAATTTTGTTGTCCACTACATTTTGACCACTGTGATGACGCATATCGTTGTCGATAACAGTACAGACAACGCTAACCCACATTCGATTTGTTCTTACCACAATAGCAACGTCAGAGAAAACGTTTTTTTCAGAGCGTGACCAAGAGCATGACACATTGACATGAGCAGCGTTGTCTGGACTCTTATCAACAGCGACAAATAAGCCAAACAAATTGCGAGATTAGTAGCAATTGTGGTAAANCCAGATGTTCAGTTAGTTGGGACGCAGTGTTTTCTCTCGCCGCACTTCTCCCCTAGTTTTGCACTCGCCGTTTTTCGCGCTGCGCCCCAACTAACTGAACGTCTGGAAGAGGCTAACAGCAAATAGGTATTTGTGACTGTGGTTCGTGCATTATCAACCTGTAAATTAATTCAATCTCGACTGGAAGGTAGAAGCTTATTAGTAGCAGAAAATGAAATGGGGACGTGATTGATCTTCGCAGTTACACACAGAACTGTGTATAACTGTTATGTACAGTTGTGTGTATAACTGCGATGATCAATCATGTCTTCATATCTTTCTCCGCGGTTAAAAGATATTATCTTTCATGTATTCACTTGTATTCTTCACCATTTACAGGTATGTTACGAATTCACGACGTAGCCAGCTCCCAGTTGGCTTGATAGCTCAGTTGGTAGAGCACTGCACCGGTATCGCAGGGGTCATGGGTTCGAATCCCGTTCAAGTCTGAATTTTTTTCAGACTTAAATTTTACAACTGCTTAAGTTGTGTGCATAACTGCGATGATCAATCATGTCTTCGTATCTTTCTCCGCAGGTCAAATATTTGATCTTTCATCTATTGACTTGTATAGGATATGAAAACCGGTACCGTACTTTTGAAAGTCGATCATAAAGCCCGTCATAAACTACTAGTTCATTCATTGTTGTCCAGTGGTTTCCTTTTATTTCAATATCTGACTACAATTATAATAATGCTGGATAATTTGTACAAAAATATCATAACAAAACCTGGAATATTTGTAAGTAAATGTGATAACAAAACTAAATATTTCTGTTTTATATGACACATTCCAAAGAAAATTTTAATTATAATAATGCTGGATAATATATACGTAAATATGATAACAAAAATAAATATTTCTGTTTTATATTATACATTTCAAAGAAAATTTTAATTATAATATTGCTGGATAATTCATACGAAAATATGATAACAAAACCTGGATAATATGTACGTAAATGTAATGACAAAACCAAATATTTCTGTTTTATATTACACGTTTAAAAGGAAATGCTAACTTTTATCGAAGAGAATAACGTTAGAAACATAGATTACATAATAAACGCAAATTTCTGTCTTGGAATATAAGCATAAATTTTTAATAACTCTTTGAACTGTTGTGTCAGAAGTTGTAAACATGCCGGATGAATGGAGAAGTTATTTCTGCATTAGGACTTAATTAGTTGACGTTGATGCTGGTGCTTCCAGCAGTGAAAGCTCCGCCTGGAATGAAAAAAAAAAAAAGGTGAGAGTACAAAAACTGCGCTACCGAAATAAAGCCGTAATAACGCGGTAATAGCGCAGCAATAAACGCGGCAATAACGATGCAATAACGTGGTAGTAACACAGCAATAACGCAGCAATAACCTGACAATAACGCGGTAATAACGCGGTAATCGCGCAGTAATAACGCAGTAATAAGGCGGAAATAACGCAGTAAAACGCTGATATAACATAATAAAACGCAGTAATAACGCAGAAACGCCGTAATGACGCAGCAATAACGCAGTAATAACGCGGCAACAAACGCGGTAATAACGCGGCGAAGTAAAGTGGCGCAGGTTGGAATTCTTTTGTCTCTTCCCATCGCTCTGCGTGCGCCCACTGTTCACCATTCAACCTCTCCCTTGGAATAAAATTTTCTTTGCGAGTACCTGGAGAGATGGAAGAATTAACTATAGAGTTGTTGTTGTTGTTTTTATTTTACGTGCCAACATTCAAAAAGAACCCGTTACACCATATGGGCCCAAGCGGATGCCTCTCGAAAGCTGTTGCTTTCATTCGTGATCTGAAGCAATGTTAACGGTAACGCAGAAATAAGGCATAATCTGAACCGATTTCAAAACAATTTTAACAACTTCCAGAATCCCACCAACTCGCTATAAGAAAATCGGGAGGTGAGCCCCTCAAGAACCGACAGAACATGCAAGAAAATTAACACATACCTCATCTTGAGTTTTACCCACAACCTTCATGTAGAGCATCACCAAAGTCTCTGGAAGAAGCACTTTGCTGACGTAATCAAAATACTGGCGGGAAAAAATGGATAAGTTACAGGTTAGAACCGTGAACCCGGGAAAATGTCATTAGATCACTTCCGCCCGTACGAAATATCAGTCACTTTCATTAACAAACAACCTCGTTTGGGTGTAAAGATGAGAGAGACCCTGGGAACGAGGTTGGTGGGTGACATCCATTCTTAACGCTCAAACTGATTGTTACTGAACTCCAAACAACAAAACCTCGATGAACAAATTGAAGGAAAGCGAATACATCGTACGATCACCAAATTTCCCTGGAGACATTTTTCTTTGTCAAGGTTCCTTGAAAGTAAGGCAGAAAAGCCATACACGCAGAAAGAAAAGTTCTAATCTGGATCTGATTATCGAATTTCCTTGCGATCGAGATAAGATCGAGACTAGCAGTCGGCCGCAACTTAGAGGAAAGCACAACTCAGTCCATAATCTGTCGAACCTACCGACCGACGAAAGAGAAACCTAATGGTAATAAGACCATTTTCGTATTCTCGTTATTGGACTGCGCCGTTCTTTTTTTCTGGCATTGTCCCGCACGAGTCTTCATTGTAAGCCAGTTCCGATCCTCCGCAGGAAAAAAGATGGCAGCTGTACATTTCATCGCAATTCAATGCGAACCTTACACAGCCTATAAAGTACAAGGAAAGTTTTTTTTTTTTGGGNGGGGGGGGGGGCAATATTCTTCCCAGTGCTAACGACATTGTGCAAGTTAAGTTAGAAGGTTTCAGAACGTTTCTGAGCGTTGTTAAAGTTTTCGTGCGCCAAGACTGAATAATGTTGGTAAATGTACCAGTCGCCAACATTTTTCCTACGGAGAATACGAGTTGATCTATTTACGTCCAGGTCTGGCAAAATAGGTTCTTGTATTTTGGCATAGTTATTGGCAATTTAGGCTATGACGGAGATATAGCTGTTAAGTACCAGAAAAATAAATAAACCTGGATTTGGTCCTTGAATATATGTAGTATGTATTCACATCTGTATTATGTATTTTCTTGCATTATAAATTTGCAATCTCAAAGTCACACTCCATGGTTAAAATATTTAACTGCAACCCACATGTAAGAACCCGCGTGATCTTGCTTGGCTAAACAGGTTCTTACACGCTGGTTTTTACTGAACTGGGTGCCTCTTTAATACACAAGCATCCAACATACAACCATCCGCTTCCTTTACGAGAGTAGTCAGCTAGCGAAGCCTTAAACGTTACCTTGCTGTGCTTGTAACAAAACATGCTAGTCAGTACTCCCATAATTATGTCTCGTTGTTCCTCGGAAAATGGACCAAACTGTACTTGGAAAGCTAAATCTCCTGCAGCATGATGACAAAAGGCGACGGCGTCAGTTCGAATAAATATTTTGGTGTACACAAGATTTTGGACACCGAGGAAAAAGGACTGGGGACGATTTATTGGATTGAAACTCCAAGAACAAACACAAGAACAAAACGTTCTCAAACTTGGTTAATTGATAAACGTTCAGATAATATTTATAAATACAGAAATTGGAAAATTATAAACAACTCAAAGAAACTAACAATACCTTTCACCTTTCCACCTGCTTTGTAATCCTCGTGACGCCGGTTATATACCTACATCAACATAAAATAACACGCATGAAAGAAATACATTTTAATACGCACATTAAACCCAATTGAACGCAGGAGTCATAGTAGTCATAGTATTTCGATCGCACAAAACAAATTGGTGTATTTTCCAGGAAATTTGAAGCAAAACAAATGCATACACGCCTGCAGTCACTTAAGCGACCACTAAGGTACTCACGAACGCACCCTAGAATGAAAGAACAAATGAACGAATGAACGTATGGACGAACCTACGAGCCCACGAACCTACGAACTCACGAACGCACGACCGCACGAACGCACGAAACCACGAACGTAACAACGTACGTACAAATGAAGGAACGAGTAAACGAACGCCTAGAAGCTACAACACAGGCAGAATTACTAATATTGGTCCTATTTAAACGTTAATTGGGATGGCCTTTGGTTATTTATATCATTCTTCACCAAAAGCAAAAAGATTTATTCCTTTATACCTATTATTATCTCCTGGTATGATTTTAAATTTCCTTTCCATTTGAAGTTAAAGTTAATTTGTATATATCACACCTTGCCCTCAAATATTTCCCTCAGTTTACTAGCGTGCTCCCACACTAGGTACTCCGTTTGCTCGGCAGTGAGTTCTTCGATAGTGCTGTACAGGGTAGCAAAGCAAAGGTAGAGGAAAAACATAAAAATGTGACAAAAAAAAACACTATATGGGGAACAGACGGACCTTAGTCAACATGTGTACGTGCCTGCTCCCGCAATTTCGATGAAAATAACTCACACAAATTTAGCAGTAATTCAGATTAAGTTTAAAAATAACGAAATCGTGCATTTCAATCATCAGCAAATATCTGCAACCTCATTCCCAGGGTCTCGCAGGACCTGTTAACGAGGTTGCAAAACATCTGTTTCGCTAAGTGGGTATAGCGATGAAAATTTCGTGAGATTCATTACCTACTAAATGATCACAATAAACTCGCCATGACGAGCCTATAAAATTAACTTATGCTTCGCCGCATTCGAAGAAATAAGTTCTAATTTTGGTGTCAGCTTTATCAATAAGGAACTAGGGAAAAATTACATCATTAACTGGGTGAAAAGGAATAGAGGTTGCTGTTTTATAGTTAATCAAAGAGAGGAAATGGTTAAGAAACCTGGCAAAGTTCTTTGTTGTATGTTTTTATTTGCTATTTTGGGGATTGACCCTACAAACAACCTGAAAAAATACAAAAGGTGGTTATGTGTGCTCATACTACTAACCAATAGGAGCATTGCGATTATGTAATTCTTACGAGTGCCTGCCTGTAAAAATCAGACATATTCTTAATTTCGCGGCAAGGGTCGAAAATTCGATTTCGCTCATATTCTTATGGTAGATAGGCTAAGGCATGACAAAAACTACTGGATAGTTTTTTTTGGAAAAATATGCTTTTATTTCGAAGAAATATGCAAATTACCAAATTCCGTTAAAATCGTCATTTGACGCACCATTTTATTCAACAAGTTTGAGAGCCTCGCATGCAAAACCACATCATTCTTCCGTCTTAAAAACACTCAAATATTTTTGTGTAGTGTTTAAATGTGTACTGGGTTGATTTTAGGGAATGTAGCGTTGTCTTTTTGGGTGCAAAATAATTAAATTNGTGTTAGACGAACGAAATGAATGAGAAGAAACACGGTCGTCAATTCCTGCCTTTTTTATCAAATAATGAGCATCTTCAAAGAGATTTTCGAAACGACCTATAAAGTCATAGTTTACAGCACAGGGATGACATAGTTTGTCAAATTCTTGCCAGTGTTCATCCCACCTTCGTGTTTCTACCAGATACTGCGTGAATTCTGGAAAAGTCACACCGCTGCCTGTCTCAAGGGCCTGCTTTGTTGCATTAGGCCTGTATCGTTTGATTATATCTCTACCATACACTCGATGAAAATACTTGTTATCTTTCACAAATTTATCCTTGTAAGCGGAAAGTACCCGCTCCATAGGATCCCGGACAAATAGGAACGTAAAATAGTTCTTAAGCATTTGTTCCACTTCTTGTCGAGGGAATTTGCTTAGATCGTTTTTCAAACTGCCCTTATAAATTTGCTTGTCATCTTCTACCAAGGGTGACAGTTCCTTTTTCCATTGTGAGCTTGAGACTTTGGGAATAAAGCAGTAAATAACTTTCCTGCTACGAAACACGTCGAAATGCTGAAGATCCTTCCCAAGTACAGTGTCGCCGTTACGTTTGTGCCTCTTGCAGTAATCTTGGACTCGCGCTTTTCGTTCTTGCAAACGAATTTCCATCCTCAAACTCTGATTGATGCTAGAAGAGTCCTGTTTGGGAAAGATGTAAATTAAAACTATTACAAGAGCATTTTGTCGAAACCCGGATCCAAGCGATCAAACCATGATGATCGAACGTAATATTTTGGTGTAGTGCAAAGCAAGCAACTATCTACAAATGACTCAGCCGTTTTTGACTTAGATGCAGTGGTGATCATATGTGTCGAAAGAGGGTCACAGATTCATGGTATTCGACCATTAAATAAGTTGACAGTTGGCGATGTACATCAGACGTTATGTAAACAAAAGCAAACTTCTGCTTTCTGTGCGACGAATAGTGAGAGAAACACGTCAAAAAAAATTTCGAAATTAACGTTGTGTAAACAAAAGTAAACTTCTGCTTTATGTTTATGTGCGACGAATAGTGAGAGATCGGCCAGAAACACGTCAAATCAGCTTTGGACCTGCCTTTTACAGCAGATATTAAAGGTTAGAACATTTCGAAATTATCAGCTCTGTGTCTATTTCAACTTAATATAGGTCAAGTCATGTGGCGTATGCTAAAATATACGTCTAACCCGTA